GAATAAAGACCGAAGTAGAAAAAGAACAAAATTTATAAAACTAAATTTCCATATTTAGCGCAATTTCCATTCTGGAGAATTGCGTTTATTAACTCGTCATTTCTGGGAATCTATGAATGAATGAATGGATGGATGGATGTCCGCAGCTTTAAGTCGCTTTAAGTCGTATCTCCTCCTCAACGAAGCAATATCGAGGACTAGTTCCAAAGTAAAGTTGTTAAGCAAGTTCCAAGGATGATTGTGGGCTAAAAAAAATCCGGGTTTCCTTCATGGATTTCCCGGAAAAGCCAAAAAAACCTCGAAAAAATGCAGTTTTTGACCAATATCTCGGCAACCAGACCACTTAGCGACTTGAAACATTTACCAATCGATTCCTGCCATAATTTAGAACAATATTGCCGAAGAAAGTTTTCAAAAATATCCTTTCGTTCGGTCACAAATTTTAAAATTACATAAACACCTACAAACCGATCGTTCGCCTGGCTTGAACGCACCCCAGCATTATACGTCAGCGCTATTTTTAGACAACACAAGGAAATTGCGCTAAAATTGTCACTAGACTTTTTAATTAACTTGTTTTTCAGTTGTGCCTGCACCCACCGGGAGCGAAGCCACGACAACTCTAAAACCGGGTAGCTGTGATGCATATTTATTAGAAAAATGCGTAGGCTTAGAAAGAGAAATGAAAAAAGAAGTAGCTGATCAAGAATGCAAGTAGGCCTACTTACATTTTTATACAATATAGAAAAAATAATGTTTTTTTAATAGTCAAAATGCTTTGTCATTCCAAAAAAAAAAAAAAAAAAATTACAACAACAACAACAACAAAAAACCGCTGCAATCAGTATATTTATTAAAATGTACATTTCTGTATTTGTTAACCATCTGTGACGTAATTTTACTCATCGACAGAGATGAACCTAAAATGATTGAATGCTTTAAAAAAGTGAAAAAACTGTGTGAAAAAGACACTGTCGGTGTTGAAAATTTAAACATAGCATTGGCTAAGTTAGATGAAATGACTAAAACATGTAAGTTGTATTTGGGGGATCATCGATGAATGACGTCATTCTTTTTTAAAAATTATTTTTAACTCTACCCCCCCCCCCCCCCCATCACACATCGTCACAAAAATCCATATCTTCCACCCATAAAAATGACTTTACACCTTAGCCTAATGCCACCAACCAATCCGAATTCTAGTTGCATCTTTCATGACTGAAATAACGGCTAAAAAATCAACACCTAACGTTACTTTTGATAATGCAATGGCGTGACATCAAACTATCTTAGAACCATCATCACCTCCCTCATCAGAAATCATCACAAAATTACGGAAACCCCACCCCCCCCCCCCTACGAGTGTGACGTCAAGTGTGGACGACCCCCCTTTATAGTTCAAATGGCAGACTTAGTTTTATAGCTTTTATTGTTGTATTTTTTTTTGTTTATTTTACATAACAGGTATAACACATATTCCGTTTCAACTTCAATACGAAGATGGCAGCAAATTTAGGCACATTTTAGGGCCATGGGTTTAACTGACAAAAATACCTTGTAAAAGCTATTGTCAATGATCTAATAGAGGGCCCACATTATGTTTTCTTTTTTTTAAAGCTAATTTATATTACTCATTTTAGTAAATGTGTTTCTTTTATATTTCTGTAATTTGACACTATACTAAATGTTAAGTTAACTATACTCGCAAAGAGTTTTAACTACAACAGAACAACAACTCACGAAGTAGCTATAGAGCGCTAGGCTACTAACCCGAAAGTCTCGAGTTTGAATCCAGTCGACCCGTGTCCAATGAGTACAAATCTCATGTTATGAAAAGTAAAGGCGGCTGGGCAAAGTGTTGGTAATACCTTCCCTTCATATGCTGAGGTCAAGAAACATGAGTTCTACATCATCCTCAAAATGTATCACTAGGTCTAAGGGGGATTTATTTCACTACTCACAATAATACTTGTTTCTTTTTTTTTAAAGTATTGTTCGCTAAAAGTATAGAAAATTAGCAAAAGCATGTTATTCTATACCTTGTGTATGTTAATGATTAAAATGTATAACATAAAGGCATTGATTTGAACAAGGCAGAGAAGGAAGAAGCCGAAAGCAAGAACAAATCAGCAACGTAAGTTTTGTGATTGAATTTTCGTCCACATTAAATGAAGTGCAACAGAAACTCATCTCCAGTTAAAATGGATGTTAACAAAAATACCTTGTAAAAATTATTCTCAATGATCTATAATAGGGTCCACATTATATTGTTTTCTTTTTTTAAAGCTAATTTTGATTACATATTTTAGTATTTGTGTTTTTTTTTCTATATTTCTGTAATTTGACATTATAATAAATTATACTAAATTTTAAGTTAACTTTACTTGCAAAAAGCTTTAACTGCAACAGAACAACAAGCACTACAAACACCATAAAGACATTTTTAAAATAACATTTTATCTACAGGCTTTATTTATTTAACAATTGTTAAAAATTATATTAAAAATAATTTTAAGTTATTTAGGTTAATTAATTACGTTTTTTTTTTTTCAAAATGGTAAAATAAGAACTACCAAGTCTCCCAAAGGGTAAGTTAAAATTAAAATAAATAATAAATTTTGGATTTTGCCAGTGCATGATTTGACCGAGAAAAAAAGGCCAATTACCGGAACCTATTTTAAAACTAATTCCAAAATTACCCTTCAAGACGAAGTAGTGCATGTGGCAGATGAAGTAGAGTTTACCTGATGCTGTGTTAGAGGCAGGTGAAGGAATAATTGAATCAACACTATGCTCCAATGTTTTTACTCACGTCAGGGTTATGAGAACCTAGTAATATTCTAAGGACTAGAGTCTTAAATCCGAACTCGAGAAATTCCGGTTAGCAGCCCTGCACTCTACCCCCCCAACCACGTTATTCCATAAAAATGATGTTTATGTATGGCTCGATGGTTTAAGAAATATAAAATCCTAGAAGACTTATTTCAGTATTTATTATTCTTAATTAGACAAGCAACAAATAATTAATTAGAAAATTGTTTTGCTAAGTATATTATTTATTTAAACTAAAATAGTGAAATAAAATAAAATAAAAATACTATCAAAATCTTTTTTTCGCAGATAGTAATGGTTATACTTCAAGCATACAGCACATATTCCTACCTAACCGTACACAAAGGAAAGAAGAAAACGAAAATGTTTTGTGCTGTTTTGGCTTTTGTGAAATTAAATATTTTGACATGAAAACTGTTTTCGACTTATCGTTTGAAATAGTATAATCAAGAACAGCATTGTGCTATCAGCAATCAATCTGAAATAAAATAAATTAAAATTTGCATTAGTAATAGCAAGTAAAAAACAACTTCACTATATATATATATATATATATATATATATATATATATATATATATATATATATATATATATATATATATATATATTGAATTTCGGTTTAGAGCAGGGGTCTCCAAACTTTTCAGTCCGAGGGCCGCATTAACTATCAAATTTCAGTTCGGGGGCCAGTTTCTTCCACATAAGTCTTTGATTTTTCTGGGCAAAGTTCCTCAGCAATCACCGACAAACGATTTTTCTTTGGAAAAAAAGATCTCCGCGGGCCGGATGAGAGGACTTCGCGGGCCGCATCCGGCCCGCGGGCCGTAGTTTGGAGACCCCTGGTTTAGAGATAAGAGACAACATTATCAACGTAGCGCCCGTTGTATCTCTTCAACAATAATAGTTTCACAACTCTGTCTATCTGAATAGAACGCTATACAGAAAAAACACATGGTAATTAAAAACTTTCTCAGTCAAACGGAAAACGAAAAATCCTACGACCTTGACACCACATAGAACATTTATGACATTTTCAAATCGAAAGAAACATATACAGTTCTAAAGCCGAAAAAGTACACACAATAAAATGACGTCATTGATTCAAGTGTAAACATAGCATTAAAAAAACAATTACGAAAAAAACAAATACAAAATATCATGACGTCATCCGTACGTAATAATACAGAAACTAACATTACCGCCTTATTTATTTGTTTAATCTTAAAAGTGGTCTGGATGTAGAGTTTCTTTCAGGCATATCTTTGGGTAGGGAGGCTGTGTCCCCCACTGCAGAAAGTCTACCGACCCCCCCCCCCCCCCCCGATTTTCAATCAATCAGCCATCCATCCCTCCCTCCCCCCCCCCCCCCCCCCCCCAAAGAAATTTTTTAAGCCACCCCCCCGACCCTAGAGAAAAAAAATGTATGAAAGAGGCACATTCTGCAGATTTAGGTTTAACAGCCAAAAGCAGGAAACGTGTCTAGAATATAGAATTAGGGTCTACACATACGAAGTTTCTTTCAGATATTTTAAAGGTTCTACGAGGTTACTGCTCCCCCCCCCCCCCTACACACAACACCTCCCGAAGAGTTCCTGAAAGAAACTCTAAATGCGACTTTAGTCAAGTCTTAGCTTAGGTGCAAGGTGTAGGGGTATGACTAAGACCATATTTAGCATCAATGAGCAGTAATTGCGTGTAGATTTTAAAAAATCCGGTTAAAATCGCTATTCTGCATAAAAATACAATTTTTTAATAACAGTTTTTGTTTCCGGTTCAATTTAAAGATGATGTGGTGATTTTGGTTTTGGTTTCGGTTTAGAGAAAAAAGACAACACTATTAACCTAGCGCCCATTGTATTTCTCCCTAAACGGCCCATTTATCTAGTACAGGGGTCTCCAAACTACGGCCCGCGGGCCGGATGCGGCCCGCGAAGTCCTCTCATCCGGCCCGCTGCGGAGATCTTTTTGTCCAAGGAAAAAATCGTTTGTTGGTGATGGCTGAGGAACTTTGTTCAGAAAAATCAAAGACATGCCTGGAAGAAACTGGCCCCCGAACTGAAATTTGATAGTTAATGCGGCCCTCGGACTAAAAAGTTTGGAGACCCCTGATCTAGTAGAATGGAGTAGAAACAATAATTACGCAACAATATGAACGCAAACAATGTATGCACAATTCAGCAGAAAATTACAATTATATAAATGAAATATAGATTCATTTTTAAAAGTCAACTAAACACCTAATTTCGTAAAATTGTTTGTTGCAATGCATTTCGTCGAGTCCTTACCTGCCAGAAAATTTTGAAACAAATCGACCCAGTGGAAATAATATTCCTGATTCCGGAAATCGCTCAAAAGTTAATAAAAAATACACATTGGATAATACATATGTATGAAATTTCGTCAATCTAACTGAAACGGTTCTCAAGTTATCATTGTTACATATACAATAGCAGCTGGACAGGATAAACAAACTAAGATTTTCCGGCTCCGTAATGTTGTAAAACAAAAAAAAAAATTGTCAAAACCTCGATTTCGATGTTTAACGCGATAACAATGCATCCATTATATCACGTATACGATAAAGTAGGAAGGTGTAAAACTATCACCATTTATTTCTCAGCAGGATTATAACCCCCCTCCCCCTGTGAAAGCATACTCCTCTGAGTTAACTCCCCTAAGTTTAAAATAGTTTCAAACTAAATTTTCTGCCACTAATAGCCGTCACTAAACCCAGCTCTACGATTGTAAACATTTAGCGTGAAACACAGTTTACCAGACCGTGTAAGGGTGGGGGTGGTAGGGAACGCGCTTACATCTTGGTGTTTTCTATCGTCTCCAAGAAGGGAATTATATACATAGATTCTCTATACGCTGAGTTAGAGAAAGTAAAAATTAAGTGTAATTCAAATGTATTGAAATGTATGTCACTTTCATTTAGGAAGGAGGTTCGTTATTTCTCAAATTAGATAATAATCAAATCCTTCAAAAAGGAAGAATAAATAAGTTTTTATGAACTTTTGACGTTTTCCTGAAGTAAGGCTCACAAAAACTCGGGATTCAGTCTACGATCTCAGTGATATTCGTGAGGTGAAGTCGGTGAATTTTTTAAAAAAAAATGTTCGAGCTAATAGAAAGAGGGGAGTTCACCAGGTCTGTTTTTAACACTTTGCTCAAAGGTAACCTAGATGCTCACGGGCATTTTTCAAAGAAATTCTGAGTGAATTATCAAGTACACGCAGAAGATATGAACACAAGTAGAAAAAGAAACTTATTAAAAAAAGCACAACCGTTTTATTAAAAAATCGCATCGTCTAAAACAGGGGTCTCTAAACTACGGCCCGCGGGCCGAATGCGGCCCTTGAGGTCCTCTCATCCGGCCCGCGGAGATCTTTTTGTCCACTGAAAAAACGTTTGTTGGTGATGGCTGAGGAACTTTGCGCAGAAAAATCAAAAACATGCCTGGAAGAAATTGGCCCCCGAACTGAAAATTGATAGTTAATGCGGCCCTCGAACTGAAAAGTTTGGAGACCCCTGGTCTAAAATATGAAAAACAGCTTCTTGACAATTTTAACCGTGTTTAGACGTTTGATCGAAAGGAACACTATATTTTTAGTCACCTCGGGGCTACTGACTATAAGCCAAGAAGAGTTTTGACATTTCGTCGATGCCTATTTTACTTTCTCGTATATACGAAGTATAGAGAAAGTCTTGTAATCGTGCAAAAAAAAAAAAAAAAAAAAATCCAGATTTTTACAAATCTCAACGTTTTACACCTCACTGATACGGAAAAACATAATTTTGCAATCTTGTCCGTATGTCTGTGTGTGTGTGTGTGTGTGTGTGTGTGTGTGTGTGTGTGTGTGTGTGTGTGTGTGTAAACAAGATAACTTGAGTACCGTTACAGCTAGGTTGATGAAATTTAATATATTAGTATTTTATCAAAATCGTAGATCCGTATCAACTTTTGAGCGATTTCCAATAATCGGAAGTGGTACTTTATTTACTTTGAATTTTTCAAAAGCCTATAACTTGAGATAGATAAATGAAATTTCACATGTGAGTAAAAGTTCTAATTCTCTACAATCTGTCAAATTTTGATTTTGAGTAATTTCAGTAGAGCGGAAGTACTAATTTACGCTATTTCCGATTTCTAAAAAACGCATGTAAATTTATAAAGTACTAATAATATTGCGCACTATTATGAACATCTTCATGTGGCGTTCACTTGGAGCGCAATCCTTTACTCTACGAGATTCTATTCTATTTTAAGAGTTTAAGTAATTAAAAATCATGTCAATATTCCGAGTTGCCATCCCACGTAGTGTTATATAAGAATAGTCGAGAAAGTTTAGGGGAGATTACTCCGGTTTATTTACTTTCTAGTTTACACGAAGTATAGAGAAAGTCTTGTAATCGTGCAAAAAAAAGATAGATTTTGTTTTGCAAATCTCGACGTTTTACACCTCCCTCAGTCGAAAGAATCAAAATCGTAGATATGTATCAACTTCTGAGCGATTTCCGATAACCGGAAATTGACCTTTTTCTACTTTCAATTATTCAAAAGCCTATAACTATTTTAGATAGATAAATGAAATTTCACATGTAAGTATAAGATCTAATTCTCTGCCTTCTTACAAATTTTGAATAATTTCCGTTTGACGCAAAGTAGTAATTTTAGCTATTTTCGATTTCTCAAAAACGTATGTAAATTTATAAATTAGTAATAATATTCCGCAGTATTATACACATTTTGTTTTGCGTTCACTTGGTGTGCAATTCTTATTTCTACGAGATTCTATTCTATTTTTAAAAGTCTAAGCAATTAAAAATGGATTTTCTTCTTCTTCTTCTTCGTTCTTAATTATTAGTGTTGAAGGGGATCGAGATTTATCTGCCAGTGGGTTTGAACTCCAGTCTTTGTTCGAATTCATCAACCATGAGCTTTTGCCGACTCGACCACGCCTCCAACACAATTAAGCGTTACGTGTCAACTGGTTATGCGCCGTTGAGGCCATTGACTCCGATTTCAGCCTGCTTTTCTTTTTGGATTTGCTTCCATAGCCTTTGTCCAACCAAGAACAAACTACTAAATGGATTAAAAATCATGTCTTTATCCCGAGTTGCCATCCCCTGTTGTTGCATATAAGAATATT